TTTTTTTTTTTTTTAAATATATATATGCTTTAAGCAGCAAGACATGCAAAAAATATTATCAGCCAATCATCATGTCAGACTGTCTTCTGGGATGACCTGCAGCAGTTTCATTGGCTGGTTTTCAGCAGCAGATCAGTGCCAAGCCTTTCTTTCCCGCCTAGTGCTTCTTCCTAGCTCCACTGAAACCATGTGAGATACCAGGGGTATAGCTTCCACCAACCCCAAGCCACCACAGTTATGACACATCGACAGATGTGGAAGAGAAAATCAAACTTCCTCATTTAAAAGATGAGATTAAACAAAGTGATTTTGACTCTGGGGAATTATAGGACAGGAAACTCCAGTGTGTTTTAGAATGATCACAGTGTTGGGAATATGCCTCACTCCTTATTGGAGTTTTCCCTCTAAGAAGGCCAGGGAGCTGGATCCTGGGGATTCTGATGATGTCAGATACTGGTTTCCAGTGATGGGTGGAGTGGGTAACCCACAACCTTGGCACTGCATTGCGCCTATATTTACAGATCTGTTCTCAGTGGTGGCCAGGGTTGGCTTTGTACATAATTTTAAGGCTTCTAACATTTCAGGTCAGTCCGCCATGGAACCCTCTGGAAGCATGCAAACCAGCTCAGTGGGATTTCTTATTTTCATCTGAGTCTGAGTCTTTACCCGTTATCCATTTCTCCTTTTCCCATCTTTTAATGCCAACCACAGGGGCACAGATGTTCCAAGGATCATTTTGTTGTTTCTTTGATTTGGGGGAGGGTCCTCAAATTTCCCCATGTGGAAAGAAACCAAACATGGTAGAATTGTCTAGGCTAAAACCCAAACTCTAACCCCCAAACAAGGAGTTCTGGTGGCATAGTGGTTACGAAATGGGCTGCTAACCACAAGGTCAGCAGTTCGAAACTACCAGCTGTTCTGTGGGAGAAAGATGAGTCTTTCTGCTCCCGTGAAGATTTACAGCCTCAGAAACCCTGTATATAAGGTTGCTATGAGTCGGGACCAACAACTACCCCCAAATGCCCTCTGCTTTTTTGTTGTTGTTGTTGTTTTCATTGTGGTAACATAGACACATAACATCACATTTGCTGTTTTCATCCTTTATTTCAAATGTGTACTTTGGATTATTTCTGAGAATATACACAGTAGGATGTATGCCCATTCAACGATTTTGTCATAGAGAAGTCAATGACATGGAAAACGTTTCTCAACTTGTGCAACCTGTCTCACCTTCCTTTGCTGAATTGTTCCTCACGCCCCACTTCACCCCCAATCCACCACCCCGAACTTCCTGTCTGACCTTTCTGTATTTTAACCATTTGTAACTGTACGGCTCTGTGACATTAATGACAGTCACCATTCTATGTCACAGCCACGACTATCCTTTTCCAAATGTTTTCACCCCAAACAAACAACAGCAGCTTAGTGTCCAGGAAGCCTCCATTCTACCCCTCTCCTCCCCCAAACCAAATACCAAACCCACTGCCACGGGATCAATTCCAAGTTCTAACAGCCCCACAGAACAGAGTAGAGCTGCCCCAGAGCGTTTCTAAGGCTGTTACCCCTTCCGGAAGAAGCAGGCTGCCTCATTTTTGTCCCCTGGGTCTGCTGGTGGGTTTGAACTGACCCTTCGTGAGCAGCTGAACGCTTAACCCACTGCACCACCTTCTGCCTCCATGTCTTTATTTGCCTATTGTAGATATTCCACATAAGTCCCATCAGACAACATTGTGGATGACTTTTGTGGCTGGCTTCCTGCAGCCTGATGTTTTTGAGGTTCATCTATGTTGTGATATCTGTGATATCTGTGACTCCATTCCTCTCTACAACTAGACATAGACTGGGTTTTGTTTGTCGTCGTTCTATTGATCTTATCATACACACAGCAGAACATCCATCCATTCGACGGTTTCTCCAATTACAATTCAGTGGCACTGATGGGAGGTTGTATGACTGTTCTTACTCTCCCCTTTCTGAGTTCTGACCACCCCTACTCCACGAACATAAACTCACTGCCCCCTCAGCTTCCTACTTAACCTTTAGATTTGGTTGGTTGGTTGGTTATGTGCTGTGGAGTCGGTTCTGACTCGTAGCAACCCTACATACAACCGAGGCTATAAATCTTTACAGGAGCAGAAAGCCTCATCTTTCTCCCGCGGAACAGCTGGTAGTTTCGAACTGCCAACCTTGAGGTTAGCAGCCCAAATCGTAACCACTGCGCTACCAGAGCTCCTAACCTTTTGATGTGTGTTGGTTTTGTATAAGAATAAATCTGAACTGACCAACAGCGGTTGATGACTTTGTCAGTTCCAGCATGTGACATCCGTGGAGAAAATACTTGGATCATTTCCCAGTCGATAACCGTTGGCTTTCTCCCAAGCAACTGACTTATCTCTCCCATTTGGATGCTGTCAACTGAACAATTCAGCATGTGTCCCCTACACCCTAGGCTGGAAAACTTGACCCAAATTTCTGTCCAATCTCTAAACATTAAAGAAAATGTCTCAGCATCCTTGGAGACACTCTGGACTCCCTTTCACGTATTCTGTCAACCCTGTGCTTCTCATCACTCAAACATGTATTTTACTTTGATGTTAATTTTATTTGCCAAATTTGGGATTCTTTCTTTTTTTTTTTTTAATGCAACAAGTAGAACGGAATGATTAAGACTGTTCTCACACACGTAACCCAGCTCACTGAAGAATTTGTGTAGAGATTGTGGAATGGGAACCCACACTGCTGTGTTAACCTGCACCCAAAACACAATAAAACCAGGAACTCACCACAGCATGATGATGGCAAAGTAAATCACAATGTCAGACGGAATGTGAGCTGTGGTTGGAACCCAAAGAAGCTGGGTGTCACTAAAGAGTGACAAGTGCATTGTCACCTGCCCCAGGGGCCCCTTCATCATGTCCTGAACAGAGATGCTGGTGCCAGGGAAGTGTCTGCAGGAACACTCAGCACAAAGGCACGGATCCTTGTTAGGAGTTGGAAGAATCAGCTCTGCCACGTGGAGACCTTTACGTTCCACACATCACGTCACCTTGTTCCACACCAGCTTCATAATGTTTGAGTCCATTCCCGAGTCTGTTGGGCCGGTTCATTTGCTATAGATTACGTTGTATTCTATTCCCCAACCCCCAGATGTATTACAAATCCTACACACTATCCCATGTGGAAATAGGGGTTTTGTGATGTTCATGAAGCCCTATCAGTGAAGGGAGTGTTTTAAGCTGAACACTTTGAGATATAAAAGCAGTTCATTAGGCACAGAAGCCAGGAAGCACCAATGGGGGGAAGGCAGATGCCACAAGAATTTCCAAGAACTCAAAGAGACGAGGACCTTCCCCAAGAGCTGACAGAGAGAGAGATTTTCTAGAGCTGGTGCCCTGAATTTGGACTTCTGTTTGCTAAAACCACCCTCTTGAGGAGATCTGGTTACATAATGAATTATGAGCTAAGATTCTAGCCACAAGGTCAACAGTTCGAATCTACCAGTTGCTCCATGGAAGAAAGATGAAGCTTTCTGCTCCCTCGGAAACCCTATACAAGGTCTCAATGAGTCAGAACTGACTCCACAGCATACCACCACCAAAGCTACCCAATTTGGGTGTTTCTGTGATGGCAACACTAAGAAACTCAGTCATCACATTGTCATGAAGGAGTTTTCTCTTTTTCATTGGCCCTCTGCATAACCAAACCTAAAGCTCTTTTCTAGCTGTTGGTCTTTACTGAGTCAAAGTCTCACCAACTTTGCTTCTAAGGAGCATTGCAGTTGTATTTCCTCCAAGACAGATTTGTTTATTCTGGCTGTTGTCATTGCTAAGTGACATTGAGTCATTTCCAACTCACAGTGACCATGTACATGGTTTCAGAGGAGCAGCTGGTGAGTTTGAATTGCTGACCTTGTGGTTGAAATCAGCCTGGAGGTCCTGGCTGTCCATGGTATATTCACCGATAATGCAGTTCTGACAAGTAGCCACTATTCTTTGCCAACATGACCATTGAAAGGCATCCATTCTTTCTCTCTCTTCCTTTTTTATTGTTCAACTTTCACATACACATGAGGTGACTGAAAAGACTATAATTTGGGTCAGGTGCACCTAAATCCTGAAAGTGACACCTTTGCTTTTTAGAACTCAAAAGAGGATTTAGGGGGAGCAGATTTGCCCCCTTGCAATGTGTCAATTAATTTCTTAGCTGCTGCTACATGGATGGACTCCTGGTGTGGAGATATAAGATCTATACTAGACTGCAAACCACAAGGTCAGCAGTTCAAATCCAGCAGCTCATTGGAAACTTTATATGGGGTCGTTATAAGTCTCTCAGTTTGTCGTACTGTGGTGGTTTGTGAGTTGCTGTGATTCTGGAAGCTATGCCATACATTTTTAAATACCAGCAGGGTCGCCCACAGTGGACAGGTTTCAGATGAGCTTCCAGATAA